GATTCTACTCCAGACTCCTTCCAGTCCATTCTGACAATTTTTTTTAGCTCCAACCTTTTTTTAAAAACAAAATCATCACACTGCTCAAAACCTTTTCCTAATTTATCAATTTAAAAAAGTCGGAGTCACTTTTCCTAATACATCAATTTTAAGTGTTTTCAATACCACCTTTAATTTGGTCCCGTGCTGCAGTGTCCTTTCCCCAACTGCAGCATCATAAGCCTACTGCATTCACTTCTTTCAATTTTTCTGCATGATTTCCTCTCTGTAAGCCCTTTTTCAGTCTACCTATTCAACCAAATCTACTTCCCCAAAACAACTTACCAGGCCACGATGGCCTTTCAAACTTGTTGGAATTTTCTCAGCACCAATCAGTGATTCTGGGCTTTTAGGCAGAGTCCACTTTGTATTGCCTTGTAGTCGTTCTATGTGTACAATTTTGTTGGGGAGACTAACAGCCAGCAAAAATTTTATCTTAAAAATCTGTGTACTCCCTCTAGATAATCCCTTTTTATGTCATAGATGTGTGAACACATGTTTTTCTTCTGAATCTAGGTCAAATCTCTTCTACCAACAGCAGGATTACAGTAAGCAGGAGTTTTATCAACTTTTAGTTCAAATGGTTACTTTTCCTTTTTTAAAAAATGGAAATACTGGGATGAATGTCCCAAATAATGCATTTTATTGTATTATGAGGCACACTTCTACCCATGGAATTAAACCTACAAAAGTCTGATTCTAAATGTTATATAAAATATTAATCTTATTTACAATATTGCGGTAAATGACAATCTCAATATTAATCTTTGTGAATAACAGTTTTTTTTTTTCAGGAGATTTTCGCTATAGGGTGCGTGCGCTCGCCAGACAGACAGAGAGAGACAGAGAGACAGAAAGTGAGAAATCACCCCCCAGGGGGGATGGTCACACCGCAATCCCTTCTCCTCCATTCTCCTCTCGGGATCTTGGGCACGCACCCACACACGCCCGGGGTGAGTTTTAAGCCACCGGGTCCGGGACACGAACCGCGGTCGACTACGTGGGAGTCCAGAGACATAGCCATTATGCTAACTGCTGGTTCCAAATAACAAAGTTTTTTTAATAGGAACTGTTAGAGGCTTTGGAGTCATCCCCATATTCCTGGTTATGACCCTACTGTGAAATCCATTTTTTTTGTTTTTTGTTTCTTTTTTTAAATTGCCAAACGGCAGCATATGTGTACACCAGAGGAAGACAGGGGGAGAGGAAGAGGGAAAAACCAGTTTCCAATGGGGTGGTCAGAGTGTAATCCTTTCTCCTACATATCTCCATCCAGCTGGAACTTGGGCATGTATGCACACGTGCCTGGCATGCTTCTCAAGCTGCCATGGCTGGGATTTAAACTGCAGACCACCATGCGGGGTGAGTTTTAAGCCACCGGGTCCGGGACACGAACCGCGGTCGACTACGTGGGAGTCCAGAGACATAGCCATTATGCTAACTGCTGGTTCCAAATAACAAAGTTTTTTTAATAGGAACTGTTAGAGGCTTTGGAGTCATCCCCATATTCCTGGTTATGACCCTACTGTGAAATCCATTTTTTTTGTTTTTTGTTTCTTTTTTTAAATTGCCAAACGGCAGCATATGTGTACACCAGAGGAAGACAGGGGGAGAGGAAGAGGGAAAAACCAGTTTCCAATGGGGTGGTCAGAGTGTAATCCTTTCTCCTACATATCTCCATCCAGCTGGAACTTGGGCATGTATGCACACGTGCCTGGCATGCTTCTCAAGCTGCCATGGCTGGGATTTAAACTGCAGACCACCATGTGGGATCTGGGTTCCTTAACCATTAGGCCGTGAGGTCAGCCCACCCATGGCTATTTCTAAACTTTAGTTTCCAGCTTCATTGCACAGTTCCGTAAGATGGCTCCAGTACTTTGTAAAGCAAACCACAGGAAAATTATGATATGGCCTGATGTTCCCTACAGAGCTTTTCTGAAGGATTAATAACTCAGAGGATGGTGAGCCTAGGCCCATCTAGATTAGAGTCTGTGACAATGAAATAAAGCTACATCCCTAGGACCCTGCCTGAGAACCTACTGAACTCACCTCTGTCCTTCAGAAGTGACTGATATACCTGGAAGGCTAAAGTCCATCAGGCAGAGCTCTTTGATTAGGCAAGTATATATTGTCAGAAAACTTACCAAGCAGTCGGCTAAAAGAATGATGTTGAGCTGCAGTAACCTTCTGGCTAGTACCCTTTAGCCATTCTTATAGTTCTGGAGAAAGCTCAGTCTACTAGGTATCAAAGAAGAGACTAATAACTTGATACCACAAGGTTGGCACAAACATAAACTGCATTATTTTATAGGAAAAGCTTATTTAATGGAAACAAATAGACTAGGTAAGATGACAAGCAAAAAAGCATGTGTTGAGTCTTGATAAAAATTCAACGAAGATCATAGTTGAAATATCATGACCTTGATAGAAATGTCAACCTCTCAACTTTAGCAACAACCTATTAAACCCATAATATGTTTCAGGCACTGTACTAAATTCTTTGCAAGTATTTAATTTAATCATCACACCATGGAGATATGTACTACTAAATATTCCATTTTATAAATGAAAAAAGGGAGGTTTGAGAGGGTATGAAAGGTACTGGAGGTTTTGGAAGCAGTAGAACTAAGATTTAAATTTGGAACTTCCATACTCCAAGTGCCTTAACAAGCACAATACCTAGCACACTTCAACTGCTAAATTTAACTTGGATTTAAACTGCAGACCACCACGTGGGATCTGTTTACTCAGAAACATTTAAAAACATAACTGTTATGATTGAACCCTAATTAAAAAAAATAGTAATAAAAAAATCTTACCAGTTCACTTATTACTAAATCTTTAGTAGCTAGCATTAATCTTTGGTCAAATGTGAGACTTCCATTTCTGATTCAAATTCTTTGTTCTATGGCCCGCATGAAATGATAGGTTATTAAGTGTTAAGAGCCATGTTAATTTTACTAAGTTTCTCAAATGGTAACAAATTCTTTAGAGTAGGTATCTTCTAGTCAACTAAGTCAAGTAGAATGAACTCAAATAAAATTCTAATTTACCTTTAACATTCTTTTAAAAAAATTTCCAGAGGGTACATGTGCCCACCAGAAAGGGTGAGAAAAGGAACCCCTATGGGGTAGGATCTGCCACATTCCCTTCTCCTTAATTTCTCTCTCCTTTTGGGATTTTTGGGTATGCATGCATATGCACCCTGCATATGCATTTTCTGAGTGGCCAGGTTTGGGACTTGAATCATAGTTGGCCAGGTGGGATCCAGCTGTCTTAACCACACCACCAGCTTGCCCAACATTCTTAGTGTAAGAAAATCTATTCTGGACCAGTGGTGTGGTGGTTAGGATGCTGGACTCCCATGTGGCCCTTTTTTTTTTTTTTTGGAGAGGTTTTTGTCATAGGGCGCATAGGCTTGCCAGACAGAAACAGAGAGACAGAAAGTGAGAAATCACCTCCCCAGGGGGGATGGCCACGCTGCAATCCCTTCTCCTCTCGGGATCTTGGGCACACATGCACACATGCCCGGCGTGAGTTTTAAGCCACCGGGTCTGGGACGCGAACCACGGTTGACTATATGGGAGTCCAACAACATAGCCATTATACTAACTGCTGGTCCCTGGCCCATTGTGGTTCGAGACCTGACAGCTTGCTTTCTCACTTTCCTTCTCTCCCTGGCCAAATAAATTAATTAATTAAATAATTCCTTTAAAAAATGTATTCTGAAAAACATTTGATTAAGCTGTCTTCAACATTATTTTATGTAATAAAAATGTTTTAAAGTCAGATTATAAGAGTGAGCATCTGAATTTAAAAATTTAACAAAACTTTAAAGGACATATACTTTTTGCATAATTGGTCTAAGTTAATCTCCAAGGAAACTAGATTGACGTTTTCTTGAATCTATAGATTTAAATAATTTATTAGATAATGATGGGTCTTGCAAAGAGGCTTAGAATTAATTTTGCAAAAGTGAAAGGGGACCTGATGTATTTGCTCCAGTAAAACATAATCATTGATGCATGTAATTCAATGCCATTGCATTTGGTGACTATAGGGTGACACTGCCATCTAGTGGCCATTCTTCACTGCAGGTGAAACCTGACCACTCTTCTGGCCTACTGCTCAAAACTGATGACTTGATTATCACTTAAGTTCTACTCTTACATCTCACAGAATTATAAAGTCCTTAAGAAAGAGACCATGGCTTTTCTATTTTATTTACTACACTAAGTATTTGCTAACGTTGCAGTGAGAATATATTTTGGACTTACTCACCTAAACACATTTCTTTTTTCTACTTCCCTTTTCCCCTTCAAATCTTCTATCCCCTGCTCACCTGTAAACATCATGAGAGGACTATCTCAAGTTTCTGTTCCCATGACATTACAATGTAAGGTGGCACAAAATAGATTACGGATTAATCTATGAACTGATTAAGTAAAATTGGTGTTTATCCTTAATTCAGAGACTACAAAAATAACAGAAAGCAATGTATTCAAGTGGCTAATGAAATGCATCCAGGTTGTCAGTGAAATTTCTAAAAGATAAACTTCTCTAATAGCTATTCTTTGTTGAATGCTTATAATGTGCTAGATAGGCACTGTTCTAAATGCTTTATGTTCATCTCATGTAATCTGTAAATCAATAGTACAGAGTCATAAATCCAATTTTAACACTAAGAAAACTGAGGCAGAGAAGGAAAAAAATGGAGAGAGACTTATGACTTGCTTAAGGCTATAGAAAAGCTGGGATTTCAAACCAAATATTCTACCTGTTCTCCATAGAGACCTAAAAATAAAACAAAAATGGTGATATTTAGCTTTAAAATCATGTAAATATTCCTTATAAAGTTATTTTGAAAAAAAATTATTTTTAGCAGACAACCACCGTTATCTAACTTACTTTGAAAAAATGGATTGCATTAGCAGATTATTCTTTGGAATGAATCAAACTTATAGATGAAAGTGGGTTTATTTATCTATTTATACATTGGCTTGGTCCACAAAAGACTGAAGGTAACTTAAACAGTGTTCAACATCTTAAATATATTATTCTCCCCAAAAGCTAGCAGCTTCCAAACTTGATTTAATATTCTGCATGTTTTCTCTCCGTTGCTTGGTAAATATATTTGCTTCTCCTTTCTGCAATCGACGTCTGATAGCTGATTTTTGCTGTTTTGTCAACTGACGTTTCACCTTCTGTTTCACCAGTTCCTGGGAAGAGTTTGCAAATTATTACCACTGATATTAAACCATTTGAAGGAGTAGAAATTCAATAAAATATTTATACTAATAAAAGCTTTCAAATTCGAATATACTGAGAATAAATTGTAAAAGTTCCAAACACTGATAGTACTATAGGTACCTACAATAAAACAGGTGAAATTAAATTCCTAACACAAATACAGATTATATAGAAAGTAGTACAGTAGATGGTCACAATTCTTAAACCCAAAATCACCACAGTGCCATCTAGTGCTCATCATGAAAACAAAAGACATGAAAACTGCCTGTTCTGCTTTCTAGGTAAGAGTAGGCATCATCTTATAACAGAAAACAAATTTTGAAAGCATTTACTATTGGTCAATATACACAAGAAAATCTTCAAAACACCCTGATGTTATGAATGAAAAAAGTCTTCATATAATTTTTTGGAGAGGAAGGAATTCTCATAGTGAATAATCACAAACTAAAATACTAGCTAAGACACAGGTGATGCATGTCACATGACTTCCAAGATGAGTATGAATTGAAAAATACTTAGTTTGCAATGCCTTTTATTTTTCTTGCTCAGAAGCACCAGTCTGTTTATAAATTGTATGAACTCTTGCATCATCTGACTTATCTCCTAATAAAAACAAGGTAAATACTACAAAAGCAGAAATAAAGGCTTTCTTTTTTTGAGGTATTTTTGCTATATAGCATGTGGGATCACCAGACAGACAGAGACAAAGTGAGAAACCACTCCCTGGGGGATGTGTGTGTGGGGGGGTAAGGCTATGCCTCAATCCTTTTTCCTCCATTCTCAGGATTTTGGGCAGTGCCTCAACCACTAAGCTACCTGCTGGCCCCAATTAAAATGTTTTCTTAATATGCTCCACCATGTGTGTGCAAGAAGCAGAATTTATTAAAAATTTCTTAAAGGGCTGGCTCCACGGTACAGCGGTTATGGGACCCAGCTCTCACATGGATGAATGCTGTTTGAATCCCGGCTTTGGCAGCTTGTAAAACCAGATGTGCAATGCAGACTTTGGAATATTTTACATAGTTAAGCAGACTATAATCAATTCATTTGACAAGAATTGAATCTGTGTTTCAGTCTAATGTTTCAGTCTAATGTTTCTTAGTGGGAAGAAAGTAAGGTATAATAAGGGAAACAGAGAAGGATTCAGAATTCAAGTTCCACAGAGGCTGATACCCCAGGAGATGTGCCCCTCCCCAACCCCAAGAAAACCTGAGACATAGAAGGATCTGATACCCCCAAGTTCCACACCCCTTTCCTCCTCCAGGAAGCCAGGAAACCTCCACTCCAGCAGAAGGCCAGGATCTTTAACATGGGCAACACTGTCAGAATTCTGAAGGGCAATTATTTCCAAACCACAATCTAAAACTCCCAGTTAAATGTGAGGCGAGGATAAAGACATTTTTAGTAATAAAAGGTCCGCAAAATCTTTACTCAATAAACTACTGGTCATGGATGTTGCCAAATAAAGAACTAAATAAGAGAAGGAAATGAGATTAGGAAAGGAGGGTCCAACGGCCAGAAGGTGAGAAGCAGCAGGGAGACAGCAGTGGAGCACGTACTACATAGAGAAGAGGAGGGGCCTAGAGTATTTCCGAGGGAGGAGAAATCAGTTTTTTTCTCTAAGTTTCCTGCCAAAATTTTCTCTTAGTTCTTAACTTTGATGGGACTGTAAGGTAATCATGTCAAGCAAAATAAGGAGATGGTGGATTAATGTACATGAACTTTCATCCATACTCTGAACAATTCAGAAATCCTACAAGGTTATTTTTCTTTATGTTAAAATGAAAAAAAATTCTATTTAATATATTTTTAAGAAATGGTGAAACATGAAATAAAATATTAGGTGTTATTTTAGGTAGTATGTATATAAAAATTAATGAAATCCATGATTTTTTGATTGTTGTTGTTAAACCCAAAACATTCTTTCACTAGGTGGTGGCCACATACATATTTATTAAAAAGCAATATATCTGCTTAATTCTAATTAAATTCTGTTACATATTAGCAAGAATACAGTTCACAAATGACCAATGAGTAGGAACTATAAAGAATATTTTAGGGGTGCCCTGTAGTTCTGGAAGCCATACGGAAGATCAGGGTTCGACTATAAAGGCAACCTGTACATCCAGGATACTTGTGCCCGTCATCTTGGCTGGTTGGGAAGAGTTGGGGGAGGACACAGCATGAAAGCTTGTTGAGGGTGTTTGTCTCTCCTTTTCATTAAGTAAATAAATAAAGTAAAAAAAATTCTTTTAAGGAGAAAAGCAGATCTTCCAGTTTTAGAAAACAAAGTCTTTTCCTTTTGTACAGATACTATATCAAGTATAAGTTAGTGAAGGAAACAGTTTGTTTTCTCCTGACCTTTTAGTGAAATGAAATGTGACCTCAAGGAACACAGTGTGACAAAATTTTCAAGACTGTAGTGTTAAGATGATGAATTTGTGTCAAATGATGAGGGAAACCTTTGTTGACTATGCTAAAATAAAGAGATTTTTTCCCCTCCTTTTCCTTTAATGATGCAGTTCATAAAGTCTAATGGGTAGGAGTGAAAGTTTGGCTTCACTCATGAGTTTTAAGTTCATGCTGCTGGCTGTGAAAAGACGTGTGAGCAGAGCAGGATCAGAGCAGTAAAATGAATACTGGCTAAAACACATAAACACAACTGAAATCTGGACCCTTGGAAAATGTCAGTGCCATCAGCTTCACATACAGAAGAGAGCATAACTTAGAACTGCATAAGGCAGCATGAATTAACAATCTATCTTTTCTTAATATGAAATGATCAATTTTATACCACTATTGATTAAAAAAAAAAACCCAAAAAACACATTTTTCAGGAAGAAGAAATGAAAAATGCCCCAGAAGCTGATGCTAGTCAATATTGGGGGGGCGGGGCCCTCCTACTATACAACACCCACTGTGCTCCCATGTCACTTATTGGCATCTGCCAGAGACTGCTTTTGAGAAACAATGCAATGATGACTGATTCTATGCTCATGGGATTTTGGTGTTCTAATATACTTTTTGTATAGAAAAATAATTTGCTGGTGTTTTAGTGCTAAATCAATAAAGGAAGATATATTCTCTTAAAATACTTATGTATACTTCTGATACCCCAGAAATAAAAGCATACTATATTTTAAAATATAGTAACTGTTAGGGCCAACAGGTGATGTGGTGGTTAAGGTGTTAGATTAAGATTCTCCTATGGCTGATCGAGATACGTGCCCCAAACTCAGTGGTTGAAAATCACGCCAGGCGTGTGTGTGTGTGTTTGTGTGTGTGTGTGCGCACCCAAATCCCAGGAGGATAATGGAGAAAGGACTATGATGTGGCCATCTCTCAGGGTGTGATTTCTCACCTTCCCTCTGTCTCTCTCCAGCAAGTGCATGCACCCTATGGCAAAAACCTAAAAAAAACCCCAGAAACCCAAAACAAAGACAGTACTGCTATTATTGTTATTATTTTAAGTTTGCTATAGAGCACACATACTCATCAGAGAGAGAGAAAGAGAGAGAATGAGAAGGCAAGCTTCCGAGTCTAGGCCTTGAACTGGGGTCAGCCATGTGGGAGTCCAGCATCTTAATCACCATGCCACCTGCTGTCCGAGTACTGTTATTTTTACTTTGTTCCTGATAGCTCTGATTTAATTTTGTAAATATCACATATCATCCACTATAGGACATATATTAAGTTGTCAGGAAAATCATGACTTCATGACTTATTTTTCTATGTTTTTCTACACAAAAATGTGTGAAGAGATTCCTGATGATCTATTTTAATTTATTGACAACATTTCTGAACTTGAAATAAGAAGACAGAGAAACAGAATTTTTTTTAACTCATTTTCCATTGAATCATCTTATTTCCTTGTTTCTTTTACCTTTAAATGGATCATTTTTTACTCATTGTAACTAGTTATCACTAAAAAAAACTTTGATGGTACTCAATACTTTAAGCATAAGGGAAAAAAAACCCAGCATACCGCTTATGTAATTCTAATTTATGGTGAAAAAAAAAGATTAATGACTATGTTGGTTTATTTTCTTACATTGGACAGAAAAAAAATTTTAGAAAAGTCCATCAAGGGCCAGCTGAGGCATGGTAGTTAAGGAAGCTGAATCACCCATGGCCAGCTGCATATTTTGAGTCTCAGACTGGCAGAAACACACCTGATGCATGTGTGTATGTACCCAAAATCCTGAAAGGAGGGAGAGATGGAAGAAAAGGGATTGCAGTGAGACAATTCCCCATGTGGGATGCTTTCTCCCTCCCTCTCCTCCTTTCTCCAGTAAGCGGCATGCACCCTCTAGCAAAATTTTTAAAAAGTAAAAAAAAGCCTAATCAAATAGTTTCAAAACATTGCTTAAACTAGAAGAAAGGCTAGAAAATAATGTGGTGTGCAGTGGCCATAATGCATTAGTGTTTGCTGAATGACTGCCAAAGGACTTAGGAAAGTAAGAAAACCAAGAATAGCTTTGTTTCATTTGTTAGATGAATTATATAATATTTGATAATTTAGGTTTTTAAATGACAAGAGTGATTTATCTTCATAATACTGACATCAGGAAGTAAATGGTTTTGCACTGGAAGATGTGATTATCTAACCTGACTCCTCCTTCTGGCTAGCTCTGAAAGGTGACTTGCAGACCAAGGAACTCCTAGGTAGGAGATGGACTGTATTCACTGTCCTCTCCACAAAAAAAAATTTTTTTTTTTTTTCAAATCCCTTTGGACATTTGCTGCTAAATGTCCAAAGAGCCAAACAAAAAGCCTGAGACACCAAAACTCTTAAGATTATTTATTTTCCTCCTTAAAAATTTAAGAACAAAATAGCTAGTGAGGCTGGTGCTTCTATGCATTTCAGTCACACTGCTGTTACTAGCTAGGCAGCTTTGAGCAAAGAAACATAACATAACCTATCTGGGCGTCAATTTTCTCGTGAAAATGACAGGACTAATAAATCAACAAAGGCCTCTTTGGATCTAAATTTCCATGAGATTGATCCTTTAAGTGGCTTGTTCCTAAAGGTTTTGATCAATCCAGCTGTTTTTTTTTTTTTTAATTATTTTATTCAACTTTATTTATCCATTTATTATTTATTTATTTAATTTGACCAGAGAGGGACAGAGAGAGAGAGAGAGAGAGAGAGAGAGAAAGTAAGCTGCCAGGTCTGGGACTCAAACCGTGGTTAGCCATGTGGGAGTCCAGCATCCTTAGCCACCACACCACCTGCCAGCCCCTCCAGCTCTGTTTTATTACTAAATTTGTAGCTGTAATTTTATAACATTAACATGTGAGGTCTTAAGCTGTCTTGTACACCTTGTAATCCTCATAGTGCCCAAGCTAATCAATCTCTCCACAGTACTGGCTTAATAAACGTTTAGTAAATGCTGAAATAAATACTTACTGGAGGGATAGTTGAACAACTTACGACACTGCCTGCAGAAGTAATACTGAGAGTTCTTCTTCTATAATTATTAATATCGTCCATATTTTCTTCATCTCTTAAAAAAAAAACAAAAAACAAAAGCCCCAGAATTTATACAATTTTTATAGTGTAATTAATTTTGTTTGATAAATTTATAGCATTTCTTGCATGGTAGTAAAACTTATAGATACATACTTCAGAAAGATTACATTCAAAATTTTATGAAGGTAAAAGTACAATCATCTACAGTTCAGCTCATATATTAAAAATTTTTCTTTTCTTAGCATTATGTTATAGTCACTATTAAAATTTCAAAATGGTACAGTTTCATCATCAGAATTTTTACTTGCCCAGAACTCATGTACGTTTTTCACTAATCCTTTGCTTTCACTGAATTACAAAAATTTGCCTCTCACAATCTAAATTTTTCAAGATACTTTCTTGTCACTGTCCCAAATAACAGTAGATGTAATGGAAACAGAAATAGTACTCTATATGTAACTCTGTTCTGCTGCATTGCAAACAAACTGCAATTATGCATGAACTTTTTTCTGCAGTGCTCAAAAGTTTCGATATGTACAATGCATAAAAAGTCACACAATTATTAATGTCCAACAGTTAATATTTTTCAACGACATGTTATTGTTGCTTCTACTTTGATAAATTCTTTGCCCCACATATGTCCAGAGAATGAGAACAAATTACTCCCATTCTGTGCTTAGATCATTGAATGCCACCTAGATTTTCTTCTAATACTGTGATGGCTAATTTTATGTGCCAGCTTGACTAGGTCACGGGTGACAAATACTTGGCTATGGCTCTCCTAGGACCCAACTTGTGTCTTCAGGTCATGAGACTTCTCAGCCTTCACAACGCACCAGCCAGTTCCTTAGAATCAATCTCCACTGGTTTTGTTTCTCTGGAGAACCCAGACTAATAAATCATGTATGCAAAATCTGAAATCACTGTCACCCGACTTTTTTCTCTTAAGCTTCTGCCTTAGTTTTTCAAGTTTATTATCAATGGCAGTAGCCCCAAGACTTAAGCCTGTACTATGTGGAAAAGGAACAAAAGTTTATGTTTTACTTCATAAACTAAACTGTAAAGATACAGGCAGTCTTAAGATGTAAGTCCAAACATGTACTAGAAGTGCTGAATATATTGTTGATCTAATTTTAATTGTCAAGTTACTCTTTTGAAATAAATAAAACCAGTATTTCATTAAACTATAATTTGTTTCTGGATAAGCTAGCCCAAATTTAAAATTTAAGTTTTAGGATTTTGGTAATCTGAGTTTAACTTACTTTAATTTCTAAGAAAAAAAATAAAAAACCCCAAAACCAAAAACAAAACCCCTCTATAATACCATTATTTAATTTTAACTGTACATGAACAAAGGATAGGCATTTCAAAGTACCAGGGAAAATTCATGGTAGAATTTCTGCTTTTTATGCAGAAAGCACATTGACTGCATGTTTTACATATTTATATGCCTTCTCTCTCTCTTTTTTTTCTTTTTTGAGAGATTTTAGCTATAGGGCGCGTGCGCTTGCCAGACAGACAGCGAGAGACATAGAGACAGAAAGCGAGAAATCATCGCCCAGGGGGGATGGTCATGCCGCAATTCCTTCTCCTCCATTCTCCTCTCGGGATCTTGGGCACGCACGCACACGCGCCTGGAGTGAGTTTTAAGCCCCCGGTTCCTGGACGCGAACCGCGGTCGACTACGTGGGAGTCCAGCAACATAGCCATTATGCTAACTTGCTGGTTCCCCATATTTATATGACTTTATGTAACTCTCACATTAGACGTAGTTATGCATGTAAAACAGCTCATCCACTGAAATCCTAATCAAGATTTGCATTAGTGCTCTGAAACTCATCAGTTTTTACTTTCAGGAAGATTTACTTAAAATTTAGTTCATAGGCTACCTAAAATCAGGTCAACAGAAAAGGAGGATATTTTGAGTTTTAACAACAAAAAAGGTTATCTGGCTTACATCTCACAAAACGGTGGCAGAATACACCTCTGTCCTACCATTGGAAGACATTCATTTCCCAGAATCAAAGAAAGTATTGGTCTTGAGATTAAAGTCAAAAGGCAATCACCAGAAATCTATACCTGAAAGGCCTGAGCTCTTTGTTTAATGACGACAAGCCAATCAGATGAGGGCATTCATCTTCACACTCTTCGGAGCCAGCAGGCACTCCATTGTGACCCATCTGACCATCTTGCCTGGCGTCATTCTCAGTTCTGTTTCTTTCCTCAGAAAGCTCAGTTACAGCACTGTTTTTAGCAACTTGCCCTTCTATTTCTTCTAAAGCTTGACTGAATCTAGTCAGTTCAAAACTGTGCGCATCAGTACTCCCCTCTGATAAGCTGTCTTCCTTTATTTGTTCAAGGTCTCCAGACAACCTGCAACTGCTGCCACCTGATTCTTCTGCAGACTTGCCTTCACTTTCATTTTCTGACCTATAAATCTCTGCTTTTTCTGGAACCTCTTCATCAGAAAGTGAGAATTCAGATCCCTCCTCTGTCTCAACACTTTTATCATCTGGACCTACTGGATGAAGCAGTTCATCATCCGCCTGCATTTCCTTTGTGTAGCCACTAGCAGAAACCTCCACATCAAGAGAATCTTCTCTCCTAGGGAGAAAAAAAGTGTCAAACATTGAAAGAAAAAAAATTATTTATCTGAGATGGATAGATATCAATTACACTAATAAGATAGAATTCTCAAATGAGTTTAACAGTTTATACACTTTAAAGATTTTTCTGTATCTAAAATGTAATACTTAATATGTAAGTACACAAGTATAAAAAAATACATGTTGCCTGTAATTTTAAGAATAAAATGATGACTAGAAAGAAACATGCTATTTTAAAAAAAGTTATAGAAACTTGCACTGATATTAACTTAGTAAGTTAATTTTCTAAGGAGTGTAAAGATTTTTACATTATATGTCTCATTTCATATCAGAAAACATCTTAAATACATAAATATGAGAAAATTTAGCTTTGAGAATGTAATTACATATAATTATATCCCATGAATCAATTAAAGATAGCTCCTGTTTTGAAGGAAGGAAAATCAAGTTTTAATAAACTCTGGTTTGTTTTGTGTGAATGGGTTATTCATGTAACATCTAAAATAGAATAAGATATCTTGAACTTATAGGACATTAGATATGTTCCTTCCCAAGATTCAGAAACAGTGCCTGAATAGATCAAAGGCAGGTATGTTTTTAAATATAATTTATGTCCAGTAGAGCAGTAATATTCAACAGCAATTATAATGTTTCAAAGGTCAGTATTTGGAAAGTTTTTTAGATCACAGTTTAAACTTAAGAACTAAATACATTAGATACTTGAAAGAGTCCTGCCATTCTAAGCAATGCAGAGTACAAACCTGATATCACTAAAGGTCGGATAAAGCTCACTTTCATAGCCAAAACGTTTCATAAAGAAATCTCTAATGCATTTAACATCTCTGTCGAAATACCTGTAAAAACAAAAATCATTTTTGATAGTTTTTATTGCATGTCTTTTTTATTAACCAATGACACTACCTGTTCTATTTGTTATAAAATGCCTGCTCTTACACGAAGAAAAAATGATGTTACACAAAAGGAAAAAGAAATCAGTTGCCACTATGTCTGAAAAAGTGAAATCTGAAAAAAATCTCAAGGGTATGAGCTGTCAATGCCATACAGTTTCTGTGGTTAGTCAAGTCAAGGCTTTCTAGCAGTTGTCCACTATATGATACACTAGGGGAAGGTAAGTATGAATCCCAGGAAAGAAGACTGTGGGCCTACACCGGGGCAGATTTCCAGTTATGGTCTTTAATCCCCAATCTGTCTGGCTGTGCTTCCCATCAGCAAGGCCAACTAGAATCCCTCCCTAGCCAACTGGGAAAGCTGTCTAAAAAGACCTTAGTGACTCAGAAGGAAAAGTCTGGAGACTACCGCATCATGTTTTTGTCCCTTTGTTATCTATTGTTGGATTTGCAATAATATCCAAGGGGATAAATAGCACTGTGTTTTATAGTGGTTTAAGGACATGTTAATCTAGACTCAGGAAAAAAAGGAATTTTGAATATCAGTTTACTTTTTTGGCAACCATAAAGCAGCAAGGACAGGTTAGATCCACCATAAGATTTCCAGATAAGGGAGAATTAAGGACAGTACAACATGGAAATGACTAAATTATTATTTTGAGAAAGATGGCATTTGGAAATAGGAAGATAATGCTACTTTTCTTTGATTTCAGGGAACTCTAGGAAAAAAATCTTAACAAATTTTAAAATTATCATTTTATACATGCTCACATTTCCACTATCAGAAGTAACTTCTTCAAAAGCAAAGACAAGGTTTATTTATAACTCAATCTCTAGTGATTAGCCCAATTCCTTTGCCCTAATAAGATTCATAAACTCAAATGAAATCACTATGTCTCGCCATAGGATGTTGTGGCCTAAACTTGGGAATGTCATTTTCTGTCATCAATCTCTTCTTCAAATCTGGTGGTTCCCAGATGTTCCTTTATTGTGTGACTCTGCTACTCCATAATAATGAAAATGGTGGTAAATCTTTTCTAGAATACTGACCACCCAAGTGTCAGGCATTAATCTTTTAGTATTGTTTTGTCAGAAATATATTTTAAGTTTATTTTTAAATGGCAGTTCTTTCTCCCACGTATGTATACATACACATTTTCTAATGGAAACCAGGATTAGGATAAGCTTCATTTAACATAAACTACTTCAGGCTCAAACTATGCAAGAATGAATATACTCTATTACATAAATGATACCAGTTATTACTTTTGAAAAAAAGCAATTTCTCAAAAAACTTGGAGTAGGAAGAGAACAAAAGCACTTACCCTTAATTTGATTACAGTTGCATCACAGAATGAAAACAAATAAAGGAAAAGTTCATATTTCACAACTTGGCTAGTTTAAGTGGTGAAGCAATATGAATATGATTATTTGCAATGTATAAAGTGAATCTCCACTGTGTCAAGGATGAAGTTTTATAGAAATTTGAATAATAAGAACGAAAGCTAAATATGATATGAGATAATTACCACTGGACTGGCAACTGAAACCACACTTTTACTAAAGCCATAAAGACTATTGTTATGCTTGGGGAAGCCTTTTAGAAGTCTCCGGGTAGTAGAAAAAACAGGGAAAATTAAGTTATGAGGTGGTTCCAAGGCCCCCCTCACCATGTCCCTACTTCTGTGTAGGATTGTGTCTGTTGTAGTAACTGGATTTCCACTTAAAAGTCTGAAAAAAGGGTTCAACAGCTAAGAGTTTGCCTTTTGGAAGTCTGTTGAATTATAACACAGGAGTTAAGATTCTTTTGATGGTTCCTTCATTTTGGTTTATATAAATAAAATAGACAGGCAAGCAATTTCTTCAGATTTCCAATACACAGAATAAAATTAACTAATATATAATAAAACTGCATCAGAATACATTTTTTCCCCTTTATGAGTGACATGGAGGTTAAAGTGCTGGACTCCCATATGGCCGACTGTGATTTTTGAGTCCAGAACTGGTGGCTTGGACATGCTAGGTACATATGGGTGAGTGCTCAGAATCCTGAGAGGATAATGAAGCAGAAGAGACTGCAGTGTGGCCATACTCCTGAAAGGTGATTTCTCCCTTTTAATCTCTTTGTATCTCTGGAGAGTGCACACGCCCTGTGGCAAAAACCTAAAAACAATGAATTTCCCCTTTAAAATAATAAAGTGTCTTTCATCTCTCATGGGATTTCCCCCCCCCCCCACTTTGTCAGAGAGCATATGTACTCACCAGACACAGAGAACAGTAAGGAGAAAAAGAGATTGACAGAAGGGAGAAAAAACACTCCCCATGGGGGATGGCCATGTCACAATCCCTTCTCTTCCATCTTTTGCTTATTTTGGGATTCTGGTCATGCACGCACATGTGTCCAGTGTGTTTTTCAAGCTGTGGGGTCTTAAGACTCAAACCGTGTAGTTGACCAAGTGAGATCCAACTGCCTTCACCACCAGGCTACCAGCTGGCCTTGGAAAAATTTTAGTAGCTGGATATCCTTAATAATAACAATAATAATAATAATAATAAACACAAACATTTTAACATCAACCATTCAATGAACCAGGTACTGACCCAAATGATATTACTGCAAAATTGGAAAATCATGAATAGGAAACGATTCCACCCATCATGCACAAACACACCCAACATTCAGAATCAATTTCAGTATATACCATTCAGCGTTGGGATGAGAAGTTGAAACCATCTGTGGAAAATCAATCATGGTGATATGGTCATCTTTATCCAAAATGAGATTGAATTCATTGAAATCTCCATGAATCAGCCCATGATTTGCAAGTTTGACAATTAGTTCCATAGCTTCATCATATACTGATGCAGGATCTTCAACATGGTGTATTTGACATCTGAAAGTATTTTAAGTATGAAAATAGGTTATAAGTTCTCATTTATGATTTTAATGAAAGCAAGTCTGTATGTATGCTTACATTTTATTTCCATTCCCCGTCTCCCCAGTTTTCTTCTCATTCTCATTTGCACAGACATCTTCATATTTTTTTTGAAAAAAAAAAAGACACACTTTGCTTTGATTCTGCATTTTCTTCCCACTCCTACCCCCTTTCTTTGTTCTGTGTAGCCAACTCATCTACATGTACCCTTTCGAATTTCTTCCCTCACTTTCCACTGACTCCATTGCAAATAGGTTCTCACCTGCCTCATTCTAATGGAACAGCACTTGTCAAGACTACCAATGACTTCCAAGTTGCTAACTCTAATGTTAATTCTTGGTTATGATCATATCTGGTCAGCTGGCCTCCTTGGAAAACTTTTTTCACCTTAACTCTTTCAACACCATACTCTTGCTCTTCAAGTTTTCCTCTTTCCATTGATCATTCTTTCTTAGACTTTTCTGTTAGTTCTTTGTCTTTTTCCTGACTCTGAATTTCACAGTTGTTCAAAAGTCAGTTCCCAAACCTCCTATTTCTCTTATTTAGACTCAGTCTTGGTGCTCTCATCTCATCTAACTCATGGCTTTAAATACCATAATACACTGATTTCCCTCACACCTCTCTCTCCAACTTCCAGGTTATCTTGAACTTAGCATGTTCAAAACCGAATCTCTGATTCTGCCCTCCCTTCCAAACTGCTCTTCCTATAGCCTTCCTATTTCTGCAAATGGTAATTTTATCCTTCTAATTAATTTGTTACACAGGCCAAAACCTTTGGTGTCATCCCTGACTTGACTCTTTCTGTATATCTAAATCTAATCTTAAACAGATCATTTGTAAAACACAAGTATCTGACCACTTTTCACCACCTCATGACTACCACTGTGATCAGAGCTACTATCCTCTCCTGCCTAGAGTATAACAATGGTCTTCTAACTTGGCTAATGGTCTGTCTCCCTTGAGTCTATTCTTAATGCAATAGCAGGAGGGAACCAATTAAAATTCTGGTCAGACCATGATTCTTCTCTGCTAAAAACACTCCAATGGCGTTCTACCTCAAAATACAAAAATTTGTGGGAACCAGCAGTTAGCGTAATGGCTATGTCACTGGACTCCCACGTAGTCGACCGCGGTTCGCGTCCCGGACCCGGTGGCTTAAAACTCACGCCGGGCGCGTGTGCGTGCGTGCCCAAGATCCCGAGAGGAGAATGGAGGAGAAGGGATTGCGGCGTGACCATCCCCCCTGGGGGGTGATTTCTCGCTTTCTGTCTCTAATGTCTCTCTCTGTCTGTCTGGCGAGCGCACACGCTCTATAGTGAAAATCTCTCAAAAAAAAAAATAAATAAATAAAAATACAAAAATTTGTTACAAAGGCCTAGAAACCCTAAGTCATCTGGCCACTGGCTTACTTTGTGGTCTCATGACTTACAATTTTCCTTTCTGGTCACTTACCTCCAGCTACACTGGCTTGCTCTCATCCCAGAGTCTATATACTTGCCATTCCCTGTTTGGTACGTTGTCAGCTATCTGCAAGTTTTCGTCCCTCTCTAAGTTTCTGCACTAATAAGGTTTTATATTATTAAGATTTTCCTGACAGCCCTATATATTTAAGTCTCTCCATGTTAGCATTTCCTATCCTTTTACCTTGCTTTATTTTTACCACTTTATTTTTAGCACTTAATACCACCTGGTACATCATATATTTTGATTAATTATTTACTGCATGCTACCTTCCATCGGAATGTAAATTCGATATGGATAGGTACTTTGTTTTGTTCAGTGTTAAGCCTAAAAGTGCCTGGCACATAATAATAATAATAAATATTAAAAAAATAATAAACTTTGTTTTTTCTTTCTTTCTTTTTTTTAAAGAAATTTTTGCTATAGGGTGAGTGTGCTTGCCAGAGAGAGACAGAGACAGAAAATGAAAAATCACCTCCCCTGGGGGATAGCCATATTGCAATCTCTTCTCCATTCTTGTCTTGGGATTTGGGGCAGGCACGCACGCACACCTAGCATGAATTTTAAGCCGCCAGGTCTGAGACTTTAACCACGGTCTACTATGTGGGAGTCCACCGACATAACCATCACGCCATCTCCTGGTCCCAATGAACTCTCAGTAAATATTAAATGAATGAATGAACCACAGGATTACAAAGTCTATACAGCCAGAATGAAACTGAGTTTTATTTGATTTTGAGTCTTACTCCTTTAAGTCCATTTCTAATCTCTCAGAAACAACATCCCGTTAACTGAAAAATTTTTCACTTAAAAACACTGAACTTTAAATCCATTTTTTGAGATCTGTGGTTCAAGAAAAATTAATACTGGCCTAGCTGTAGTAGTATGTACTGGTTAACAGTACTACTTGGGAGGCCGAGGTCACACAAGAGGTCTGAATTGGATTCCTGGCCCACCCTGAAAGCCTGGTGAGGTGGTCCACTTTTATAATCCCAGGTACTTAGGAGGCTGAGGCAGGAGGATCAAGAGTTTGTAGTCAGCATGGGCAACACAGCAGGACTATCTATGGCAGAGCTGGGTGTGGTGATGTAGCATCAGAGTAAGATCCCATCTTAAAGGAAAGAAAAGGAAAAGAAGAATAAATACTTACAGTGGATAACCGTTTATGAGTTCCATGACCACTGCATGGCGATTATAATCAATTGGCTTTGGAACTGGGAATTTCCTCTCATATAATGCCTAAACATAGCAACATAGTTATAAGTTAATTAGGTCACTACCTGTTAAAGAATAATAAAAGCAAATGTATCTTCCCACAAACAGAAGAAAACCACACAAGCATTCAAAAAATTAAAGTCAATATATGGTTATTTAGGCATAGGTTATTTATCTACTATCTATAATAAACTATAAATAAAAACAAAGTTGTTTGAATTCACTTTCCACCAAAAGTGAAGATTTACTAAATATATCCATGAGAGATACAAAAATGAGTATGAAATATCAGCCCTCAAGAAGCTTAAGCCTCTCAGGACCTTTTTTCTCTTATTTTGGAAGTTTTTCATTTATTAAACTATGTTTAAAATATTTAAATAGAAACAAATTCTTTTATAAAACACTCTGACTTCTGGCATATTAGGAAATTGCAAATTCCAAAGGAACACAGGCATTTTAGTTTATAGAGCACTGACCTTTTTCTTCAGACCACAATGTGCACTATATAAAGCTATATTGTGACCAACGCAGCACTGCTGTCAGCCAAATGTCATTTCACACAATCCACACATCTTTTTTCCCCTATGTTTAATTTCTTTTATCCTATTCTTCACCAAATCCTGTTATTACTTGCTTCAAAACACCTTCGATTTATACTCTCTGCCATTTGGAATGCCAACATTGACTTCTAAGTAGGCCTTTATCATTTATGCCTGATAACTCCACTCTGTTGTACCTAACCTAGTCTATCTACTAATATACCAGACTGCCTAGGCCAATGCTCCTTTTAAAATAATTTACAATCAATATTGACTTCAGTCTGACCAACTCTTCCTGGTTTTCAAGTCTCTTTAATCTACTTTATAGTCCTACTTCACCCAAGTCTCTCCAGTAAGCACCTAGGAGTGCAGTGAGGAAGTCACCTCAATGTTTCCTATCCCCATCAACAATCCACACAGGGCTCATATCTATTCATGTTTTTGTCCATAATGGCTCCTCTGCAAAGCACACTGTCTCTTTACAGACAAATCCTATCAAACCTCACAACTTCACTCAACTCCAACTCACTTCAACTTCCTTCATCAGCTATTCATCCCATTGAACTTTTTCTAAGCTCAGTATATACTTTTCTGGGCCAGCTGGTGGTGTGGTAGTTAAGGTGGCTGGATCCCACATACCTGAGTGGGCCATTTGAATCCTGGGTCTAGTGGCTTGAGAAACACACTGACCATGTGTGATGTGCAGCCAAAAGACTCCGAGAGGAGAATGGAGAACAGACTGTGGCATGGCTATCCACCCTTAGGGGCGCTTTCTCACTCCTCACTTCCCTGGGTGAGTGCATGTGCCCTATAGCAAATTAAGAGAAACAACAAAACTTTCTAAAAAACTATTGTTTCAAGTATGCTTGTGGTTATCTTTGTAACTCTGACACAGACTGTACTGATTAGTTTTCGGCATCCATACCTTCACCACACTCTACCCCAGTACTTAATTTTAAACGTTGTCTAGTCTAGGGACCAGCAGAGGGCATAATAGTTACATTGCTGGACTCCCATGTGGTCGACTACAGTTTGAGTCCTGGAACTGGAGGCTTGAAACTCATACCGGACATGTATGTGTATGCACCCAAAATCCTGAGAGAATGGAGAAGAGATTATGGCGCAGCCATTCCCTCTGGGGCGGCGGTGGGGTATGGGGGATGATTCCTCGCTTTCTGTTTCTTTAATGAGTGCACGTGTCCTATAGCAAAAATCTCTCTCCAAAAAAAAAAAAAAAAAAAGGTGAAAGTTGTCCAGTCTATCTCCTACTTTCTGTGGACAGGAATTGAACTTCTCCCCACAGAATTTAAGAATTTTTCAATGCAGACCATTTTGAACATGCCCTGGCAGTTAAACAGCAGATGATAACCTTAAAGATGTTAGTAATTGTCTAGAACCTGTACTAGAGCCTAATGCTCAAATGATAGACTAATCTTTATTGCTTTCTCTCTTAGGAAATACCAATGCATACCAACAGCATATTTATATGCAACTAGGTTCATTCCTATATTTTCAAGATAAACATCCCAAGAAAATATCCAATACAGTTTTGGAAAAAAGTCTAATGATCTTGACCAAGGTGCATACTTATCCAATATCACAAGATACACACTATTAGTATAAGACAAGCAATACAAACACATGTGTGATACCACTATTACTTATTTATACTACCTTAGTAATTTTCCCAAAACTATTCACATACTGGAGCAATTTTCAATAACTGAAATTGCTAAAAAAAAAAAAAAAAAATGAAGAGAGGGTATAATAAGCCTTACTGGACAAAAGAATAAAATCACAATGTTATGCTCTGTTCAGTTTCACTGTCATTGAGATATTTGATTCAGGTATTATTAAAGACATTTAAAACTCCATGGTGAACATTAATTTTGGAGGTTAAAGGTTACGAACTAAAGAATTTTACCACTTTTAAAATACAAATTTGTAAACTGATATTATGTTATATGAAAGAAAAAAACAGTAGATGACTTATCTGAGGTACTAAGGTTTCTACAGATGATAAAGCTCTTGTGTTTCTAATGAGAGGTACAGTTATTAACAATGAATACGTATATAGCCACACATACAAATTTGTCAGGCAATATATCAGGCTACTCCATCTTGATAATACTGTAGAATACATGTTGCCTTTATGCATTAATAACAAAAATACTTTCACATAGAAGGAATTTGGTAGAAAAATAAATAGTGCAGTTAAAGTGACTCGGAGATTGAGTCTGAGGTTAGGGACATGGGGGCAGGCAATAGACTGGTGCTTGTCATTAAGATCTTTGAGCAACATGTATTATTTGGTTAAAAATATATAAAATTATTCTAAAAGTACCTTCATGTAAGCAAATTCCTTCATGGCAGAGAGACGAGATAAATAAAGCCAAGACACATTGTGCCTGTGTTTATGATAATCACGCTTGTTTTTCAGATTTCGAAAGGAGGTTCTTCCTAGTCTGTGAAGCTTTAATGCAAATTGCAGTCCTTCTTCATTTGCAACGATGTAAATATCTAGAGCCAAGATTTTATAAGGATCAGTATCATACTTTTACTCCGATAAGTTAAAAAACATTTTTAACTTTGATTTTATTTGTACCAGATCTTTTCTAATCTAACTAAAATACTTATCACTTAGCAAATCTCTTCATATCCCATGCACTTACAATTTTAATTATAGTGCAAAATAACAAGCCAGCATATATTAATATCTAGGACAAAATAAAGCAGAGATAAAACTGTCAAAGGTGCTCAAAGCCCCTAACACATATGTCAAAATAATTATTTAATTTATTGCAAAGACATCTAATTATTCCTTAATGTCCTATATGTGAGAGAAGTGATTTAATATTTTTCTCAACAACATGAAGTTCAATTCTTCAGTTGCTTCACTGAATATAATATTCAATTAATACAATAAACAGAAAAGAGATCTTTCAGTAAATAATGTATTGACTATCAAAACAAGTTGGGAGGACCAGCAGACAGCGTAATGATTACATTGCTGGGCTTCCACATAGTCGCCCTTGATGGTGGTTTGAGTTCTGGACCTAGCAGCTTAAACTCATGCTGGGTGCAAGTGTGTGCCCAAAGTTCCGAGAGGAGAATGGTGAAGAAGGGGTTGGCATGGTCATCCCCCCCTTGTGGATGATTTCTCACTTTCTGTCTCTCAGGAGAGAGCACAAGCCCTACAGCAAAAATCTTGATTTAAAACAAAACAAAACAAAATAAAATACCAACTTGCTATTTGTAGTAAGTGACATTTAGAACATGTTCTAATTATTCATAAGGAAATTTTAATTATACATGTCTACTAAGAAACATGCTCTGTCACATTGTTGATGGGATTACAAACTGTTGCAAACTTTCTGAAGAAAAATTTGGTAATAATCAACTTTTTAAATGTATATTCCTTTTGTCCTGTCATAGAATGAACTGTAATCCCCCAAAAGCAAACCTTAGCCTTGGATTTCTAACCTCCGAAACTTTGAGAAAATAAATTTCTGTTTAAGTCACTTAGTCTATGGTATTTTGCTATAGCAACTCTAGCAAACTAATACATGCCTCAATAATTCAGTGTCTAAAAAATGCACTTACAAATTTCTTTACACATATGCATAGACACAACTGTATAAGGTGCTGACAGAATCATTTACCGAAAAAGTCTAGAAGTAACTTACATGACCATTACCAACTGAGAACTGGTAAAAATCTATTTTAGAGTATCCATACAATGTAATATCCTGTAACTATGGGCAAGACGTAACTGGTGGTGTGAAATGCTATCAAGGATGCATCAAGAGCGTAATAATCAAGGTATAGAATAGTGAGCAGTTTGCTTTCAATTGTGATTAAAAATATATGTAAATGTACGTCATACGGTATGTATGTATTAACATTTATTTAGTGCTAGAGGCTATGTGTACTTGCCAGAGACAGAGAGACAAAGAGAGGAGAGGAGAAATTACACTCCACGAGGAATGATTATCCCACAACCCCTCGCTCTGACATCTCTCTCTCCTCTAGGGATTTGGAGTCACTGATTCTGGAACTTGAACTCCATGTTTGGCCCTGTGGTATCTGGTTGTCTTAACCACCAGGCCACGGAGTTAGCCAGCATATGTTCTTATTTCTACATATAAACATAGTTGTATATACACAGAAAATTTCTCAAAAAAATATGTGTAATCAATAAGGAGTGTTAGCTTTAGGAAATAACAGGAGACTGTGACTGGGTTAAGAGTGAGACTTAATTTTTATTGTACTCCTTTTTATAAAATATTTACCATTTTGCATGTAATTAATTTTTTAAAAATAAAAATATAGGGACCAGCAGATGGCATAATGGTTACAGTGCTGGATTTCCACGTAGTTGACTATGGTTCGAGTCCCAGACCTGGCAGCTTAAAACTCATGGTAGGCACATGTGCATGTGTGTACAAAATCCCGAGAGGAGAATGAAGAAGGGATTGCAGTGTGGCCAACCCCCTGGGGGTGATTTCTTATTTTCTATCTCTTTGCTTCTCTGTCTCTCTGGGTGAGTGCACGTGCCCTATAGCAAAAATCTCCCTCAAAAATAAATAAAACATAAAAATGTTTTTAAATTGAATTTCTGTTTCATGACTTAGTTCTCATTATATATTACTTAAGTATCTGTAATAGTCAGTATATGAATTTACACTCAAAGTTAAAAGTAGATACTAAAAAATTTAATAGGAAGCCTATACCAAAGAGATGTTCCAGTATTTTTGTTTATAAAATCTCTGCCTACCCCACACACATTGTAAAGTATTTAGTACTCTTTATATTACTTCTTAAACATACAGTACAATCTAGATATAAATATAGAAGATATAAAAACCATAAAAAGTACCACAGCAACTTTCTTTGGAATAGGCTTCCTAATTATTTTACTTTCAAGTTTAATTCTTTCCTCAGTTTAAATAATCTAACTGTACAGGATAAACTATTAATACACAGGATACAAAGCAACATATGCAAGGGAATGGTATAAAGAATATTATTCCCTGTTGGGGCTGGCGGGTGGCATGGTGGTTATGGGTGCTGGACTCCTACATGACCGACTACAGTTCAAGTCCTGGACCTGGAGGCTTGTTCTCTCTTGACAAATTAAAAAATAAAAAAAAAAAAGTCAAGTAATTCTTAAAAAGCTCTGCTCTTTCTGACTTTTTAATGCTAATGAAGATCATTTTTGTCCCAGGGATGTACTTCTTGGGATTCTCCAAATACTCTATCCGTGTATTCTCTCCCCAGGTGACACCTCTGCTCTTGTTGGCATCTGTGTAAGAGAACCCAGGGGCCTGACCTGTCTTCTGTCAGATCATGAAGATTTGTGCCAGTATTACGCTTGGGTTCCTTTTCTAAGGTGTGGCACTGAGCACACTATTCTTTTTTTAGAATTATTTTTAATTTAACGATATTTATTTATTTTAATTTGACCAGAGAGGGACAGAGTGAGGGAGAGGGAGAGAGAAAGAAAGTAAAAAAGCTGCCAGGTCTGGGACTCAAACTGTGGTTGGCCATGTGGGAGCTCAGCGCCCCTAGCCACCATACCACCTGCTGGCCCCAACACTGGGCACACTTCTGAACAAAAATCTTCTTGCCTTCCTCAACATCACCCATTTTTAATTCTTTCTTTTGTCATCCATGTTACAAAAGTTCCCACTCAGAAGCTGGATGTCTGCTCTCTAAGTCCAAGGATCTACTGGTCCAGAATTTTTTTATAATGCATTTTCTAGAAGATTTTTGAAGACTTCCCATACTTACCTTTGCCTTGCTGATCATACTGCTATGATGGAAAAATGTGTGGTTTTTAGATATTTACTGTCTCCTACTACTTCCTTGTGGTATGTATTTTTAACTGTTACAAATGTACAATTTATCAGATCTAAAGTAAGAGTAAGTAAAACTGCCAAAGATTTTAGTTATTAGTGAAAAATTATTTCTTACCATAATTGAATTGTCAGTGATGGCCTTATGGAGAAAATAACCTACTAAACTAAATGTATAGTCATTAATTTTTATTATTTTCAGTCAAATTCCTAATCTACTTGTTTAATAGGAAAAATGTAGAAATTAAAAGAGGAATGTTTTCTTAAGGGAGAATATAAACTGAACTAAAGAAATGACTTTCTATAGTACTATTAACACTTACCTGATTCTTTGCCAACACCCATCTGGTTTCCAACAGACTCAACTACCTGTCTGGAACAAAGTGTTTTCAAAGCCAGGTAATCATAGCCTGCATTGGTCAATCGATAGCCCTGGACAGCTAGGAAGCAAAATAGAAAGACCACATTTAGTCATATTGTACCACCAAGTTGAACACACATTCAAATCATTCAAGAATTTAACTATAGGAAGTCTTAGTTGGAAAAAGACAAACTACCTAGACTTAAAAGTTCTCAATAACTCCTAAAATTTATATTTCTTTTCTAGTGCAGTGTTACTCAAAGTGTGACCCACAGACTCAGTGCTGTTATGATACTAGTCTGTAATTGACTATGACAAATATAAAAACTAGAAAAGAAGGTTTAAGTTCAGGAATTTTTATATTAATTTTACGAAGAATTTATGTTTTCTCTTATTTTTTAAAAGTTTAGTTTTTTTTTTTTCTATGACCAAGTGAGAGAAACAGAAAAAGATAGCAATTCTAATAGGGTTTTGATGCCATGACCTATCCCCAGCCCTTTAGCTGGCTCTGAATTCAGGGCTAGCACATGCCAGGTATACTCAATGATGTTGCTGGACTTCAGTGGGAACCTCCTCATATGAGATTGCCTTGCAAAAACATTGTGTTTTGTTGCTGTGCCAATGTCTAACTCCCTACTTGTTTCTGTGTATCTGTTATCCATTTCGTTTTTCTTTTTCATTCTTTTTTTTTTTAAGAGGGAGATTTTTGCTATAGGGTGCATGTGCTCACCAGAGAGAGGCAAAGAAACACAGAGAGACAGAAAGTGAATCCCCTAGGGGGATGGCCACAGTACAATCCCTTCTCTCAGGATCTTGGGCATGTACATACACACACCTGGCATTAGTTTTAAAAACTACGACTTGAACTGTGGTTGACTACTTGGGAGTTGAGTAATGTAACCATTATGCCATCTGCTGGTCCCATCCATTTTATTTTTCAAGTAATTACTTTTTATTATACTTCATACAAGTAAGGATTTGTGATAGTTTGAAAAAGCCATCCCTCACCACAATTTGAGAAATAATGCTCTAGGGAACCAGCAGTTAGTGTAATGGCTATGTCACTGGACTCCCACATAGTCGACTGCGGTTCGCTTCCCAGACCCGGTGGCTTAAAACTCACGCTGGGCGCGTGTGCATGCATGTCCAAGATCCTGAGAGGAGAATGGAGGAGAAGGGATTGCGGCGTGGCCATCCCCCATGGGGATGACTTCTCACTTTCTGACTGTCTGGCGAATGCATGCGCCCTCTAGCAAAAACCTCTCAAAAAAATAAAAAAAAGAAATAATGCTCTATAGTCCTGTTACAGATTATACTTCCCAAAGATGGCACCAATAATACTTCTGTTGTCCTGTTCTTTATACACTGTGACTTTGCTATTCCCCTTTTTCTACCTCTTCTGATGTGGGTCATCCCTATGATTGTTTTGATTGATAGACTATGGCAGAAGCATGTTATGTCAGTTCTTGGTCCAGTGCTTTACTAGTATGGCAACTCTCACTTCTTGCCTTTTGTAATGCCGGCTCTGGGGAAAACCAATCACCTGAGGGAAAAAAAAAAATCACAAATGATACTTCAAAATACTTACTTTTGGTACGCTCCCAAGCTACGAGTTTGTGTTTCACTAATTCTCTTAAAACTTTATTGCAGCCACCGTGTTTAAGGCTGGCTATAGAAGCGATCAAACTGCAGGGGACGATTTCATGGTTCTTCATGCCCATTTCAACCTGAAATTAAAAGAATCATTATATAATCATAATCACCAAACACTGTTTATCCAAACTATGCCAAGAAATTAATTTCTCAACAAAATTTCCTGTCCATGAACAATTTGCTATCGCCGTTCCACTTTTAGGTTAGGACTTGTGAGTGCCTGACATAGTTAATGACACATAATGAGTAATGAAATACTTGGTGACATCTAAACATGCATTTATTTAAACATAATTATTTATTTAATTTTATTTATTATTGTTATTTAATTTTTGCTATAGGGCATGTGTGCTCACTAGAGACAGACAGAGAACAGAAAAGTGAAAAAGCAAGCCACCAGGTCTGGGACTTTAACCATGGTCGGCCACGTGGGAGTTCAGTGCCTCAACCACCACACCACCTGTTGGTTCCCTTAAACATGCATTAAAAAACTACACGTTAAGTGAGTATTAATTTTTTGAGAGAGATTTTTGCTATAGGGTGTGGCAGTTGCGGGAGAGAGAGAGAGACAGACAGATAGAAAGCGAGAAATCACCCCCTAGATGGATGGCCACACCACAATTCCTTCTCCTCCATTCTCCTCTCGGGATTCTGGGCATGAACATGGCATGTGCCCTGCATGAGTTTCAAGCCTCCAAGTCCGAGATTTGAACCTCAGTCGGCCATGTGGTTATCTAGCGATGTAACCATTATGCCATGTACTGGTCTCAAGCAGGTATTTATTGAGAAAATACTACATGTAGTTATTGGGCTAATTATTGTGGAGAATAAAAAATATTACTAAAAATACTCTCTACCAGCGGAGAATTTACTATTGTAGAAATTTTAAAAAATATATAAATCTAACTTTATTAGAGGTAAGAAGTGGTAAGTGCTTAAAAAAGGTAGCTCAGGGCAGAACAAGAATACCTCTAGCTGAGGAATTTCTATGTATTTATTTATTTAAAACTTTGTTATAGGGAGGATGCATTTGCTACAGTGTAACAAGGTCAGGGGTGTGGGGAGTGAAAAAGTATGCCCTAATATGTGTATGTGTGTATGTGTGTGTGTTTAGGGGTGATGATCACACTGCAATCCCTTTGTTATTTTCTTCTTGGGATTCTGGGAAGGCACTCACAAATGCCTGGTGTGTTTTTCAAGCTGCTGGGTCTGGGACTTGAACTGTGCAGTCAGCCATGTGGGATACAGCCACCTTAACCACCATGCCACCAGTTTGCCAGGAGTAAATGGTTGTAAGGAAGAAGCAACACTTGAGACAGACTTTGAGATGTCAGCATACAGAAAAGCAGACAAGGGGGATATTAAGGGAAAAAAAAATTAATAAAACGACCTTGAAATGGTTCATATACAAGGAAGTACTGTACTGAGCACAGGTAACGACTAGAATACTGAATAGTACAGTGATGGCTCAGATGGGATGGCATGCAAGGTTGACCTAAGGAGGGCTGCAAACACTTCTAAGATACAGAATGCACTGAAATGCAGACTAAGGGGCTTTATACAATATTTACACCGAGGAAAGCAAAACTCTTGAAGATGTTTATAGAAGGAAGGTAACATGAACACAGCTATTTTAAGGACATTACTCTAGCAAGAATATGCAAATTGGTTTAGAGAAGACAAAAACTGGTAGAAGAGTCCTAGAGAACTGCAACAACAGTAAAGCTCAGGAAAAAATAGCAACTGGAAAAGGCAAGTGGCAGTGGTAATGGAGAAAGCATCTGTGGCAGGTAGCATGGGAGGTCTTGGGAACTGGATATGGGAGGGTAGAGGGAATGAAGGGTGAAAGGTGGAAGTGAAGTAGAAGAGTAAGTTTTAAATGATGTCTTTGGTGGAATTTGGGAAAGGAGAATGGGGAAGACAAAGCTGACAAATTTGGTGAGAGTACATAAAGTCAAGTAAGATGTTTAAAGAAAAATTATAAAGGGACCTATACTTAGAAATAAAGTTATAATTAAAATGAAGAACTTGCCAATTATTTGACAGAGGTGAGGGATCAGGTGGATGCAATCACCGAGCAAGAGCAAGAGATAATAGAATAAGGAAGGGTGGGGAACATAATTTAGGGGAAGTTCTAAAAGGTAAGGGCAGTCATCAAGCAAAGATTGTTAACACAAGAAAAGCTCAAGTTCAACCAAGCAGGGTTAAGGAAAGGCACCAATACTGGTGAGAGTCAACTGAGATTGGGATGTTATATTTAATGACTATGCCACTGCTTGATTAACTTCAAAAATAACAAGTACTGCACAGAAAAAGTTTTAGAAGATAAATCTGGTATAATTTTAAAGTAGCCTGACACTAGAGGAAAGGGCTTTTTTTTTTTTTTTTGAGAGGTTTTCGCTATAGGGTGCATGTGCTCGCCAGACAGACAGAGAGAGACATAGAGACAGAAAGCGAGAAATCACCCCCCCAGGGGGAATGGTCACGCCGCAATCCCTTCTCCTCCATTCTCCTCTCGGGATCTTGGACACACATGCACACGCGCCCAGCGTGAGTTTTAAGCCACCGGGTCCGGGACGCGAACCGCGGTCGACTACGTGGGAGTCCAGCAACATAGCCATTACGCTAACTGCTGGTTCCCAATCTGGTATAATTTTGACGTCCCACCAAAACCTTACACTTGAAACTTAGCTCATCTCTATCCCTCAGACTACAACTCTTGATTCTCCTATTGCTGTCAGAAGCATTGAAGAATGAATGACCGTGCTCAGGGAGCTGAGAAGGAAGATATCTTTCCCAAGTAGATATTTCAAGTCCTAATGGAAGACTCAACAGGAAGAGAAAGTGCCTTTCAAATGTCATCTCATTTTCCGTTTTACTAGTTTAGTGCAGAAGTGTTGCTTATGTAGAACTAATTTCAAAAATCCAAAACAAGAAGCCTTAAAATAACACCAGCACCAGTGTGATTCCTATCAAGTATCATATTACATACTTACACAACATAAGCATTTATCATGGGGCTCACTCCTTACCAAAAGATAATGGCTCCTAAATAAACTGCTTTATTATATAAATGCCTAGATCTCTGTTTTGATCTCTGAGCCATAAGCCTAAGGCCAAAAAATCGGATTCTGTCACTCTCCTGATCAAAAGCAATCAGTGGCTTCCCCCACGTTCTACCAAGCCAGTACATGACCTGGCTTTCACCTTTTCTAGCTATATCTTCAACTATTCCTCTCTGGCTTATTGTACTCAACCACACTAGGCCTTTTTCTTTCTTCAAAGACTTTCCTGCCTCAGAACCTTTGCACTTATTACTGCTGTTTTCTGTCTTCAGCTCTTTCCAAGGACTTCACTGGGCTGGCTCCTTCTCCCATCTATTAAGGTTTCCTCTTAACATTTAGTGAGTATTTACTTACTGCCTACCAAGGGCCAAGAGTCTTAAAAACAAAACAAAACAACTTTAATGCCTACCAAGTGCCAAGAGTCTTAAAAACAAAACAAAACAAAACAACAACCCCTGCAGACTGGTTGCTACAGTAAACAGACAAGTTTACTGCACTCAGTCAGGCAGTCTTCCCTGATTACAAAACTCAAAAGTGGCATTCGGGATTCTCTCCCACCAGTTGCACATACTTCCTGTATTAACTTTTATCATCTTCACAGCACTTATTAACTGATACTATTTGTGCTTACTTACCGTTCACTTGACGATGAACAATGTCTCCCTTACCTCCTTACTGTTCTGTACCCCGTTGAAATCCCTAGAACTGCTACTAAAACCCCAGCAAATGTGCTGCGGGAATAAATCAGAAGGCGTGCTCTGCCGGTCTGTACGAGGGGAACACGATGCTGTCACTTAGGAGACGTGTCGGAAGGTCAGTTTTCCAGGCTACAGGGATGCGAGTGGATCGCTTGAGCGCGAAGAGTACAGTACAAAGAGGTAGCGTTTGTTTTTTTGGGGGGGAGGATAAGCTCCCAAACAAAAATCCACCTCTCTGGTGCTTTCTCCCATCCCCAATTTCTGCTACGTTCAGCGCCCGGAGTGTCCCCCGGTCGGCTTCCTGCAAACTTCGAGCAACTCGAAGAGGGTGCGCGGTGGGGAAGAACGGGGAGAAGGGGGCAGCGGGCTCCTTACCGCAGTCAGGACCCTGAAGTCATCCCGGCTCATGTACCGCAACTTGGCCACATTCACCTTCCCCATGGCGGTCCTGGCGGAACCCAGAAGCCTCCTCCAGCGCAGCCGGAGAGCGCAAAGCAGGTCGGGATTCCCGCCGCTCACGTGGTTCACAGCCGCGCAAGGCTCGCGCACGCGCCGCGTGCCGCCGCAGGTCCTGGGTACTGGATAAACGTGCCGTTCTTACTAGCCTGGGAAAACAGCTTCTGCGTCTTACGAATCACATAGAATGAAACAAGGGTGAATTCTACTTTCAAGTGATAATGTCATGGGAGGGGACCGGCAGGCTATACATATTCTCAAAATGTGTTACTCTGTTTTTTGGTACCTGTCAGGACTACCAGATGGGGTCGGACTCAGCCGAGCGGAAACTTCGTGGGAGGAGCCCACATTATTACCCCCTCCCCCGCCACGGCAACGCCTGCTTTAGGCAAAATGACTTCCAGCGAGAGAGGGCAAGTGAGCCTGAGTGATACTTCAGACAACCAAAGCCATTACGTAAGGTAACAAGGACAGTAATTACACAAGCAATTCATCTACTCTTCCCTGCCCCTGCCCCGGACGCGGGGAAGACATTGTTAATCGGAACCCTTGCGTATGCTCGGCACTTAGCTTTACTTGGGCCCCGAGGCCGGGGAGTGCGCCTGCGCCTGCGCCTCTAGAGGGCGGGGTTTAGGATGACCTGTGGAGGGAATGTGTGTCTATTTTTGCTTCTCAGCAGGGGTTTATAGGTATGCATGTATTTTGATTGTCCTGCGGACCAGCCAGGTCGGACTTCTAAGGTCAGGAGCAATTTAAGAACTATTCACGCTGGCTGTGAAATTTCTGCCCACAGAAACTTTAACCAGAGTGGGACCGTGAATGACTTACACCCAAAGAACTTGGGCCCCGAGGCCGGGGAGTGCGCCTGCGCCTGCGCCTGCGCCTCTAGAGGGCGGGGTTTAGGATGACCTGTGGAGGGAACGTGTGTCTATTTTTGCTTCTCAGCAGGGGTTTATAGGTATGCATGTATTTTGATTGTCCTGCGGACCAGCCAGGTCGGACTTCCAAGGTCAGGAGCAATTTAAGAGCTATTCACGCTGGCTGTGAAATTTCTGCCCACAGAAACTTTAACCAGAGTGGGACCGTGAATGACTTACACCCAAAGAGGGTGCTGTCCCAGCGGCAACAGGATCTACAGTTTGATAGGGACTTCAACAAGTTCATGGCAAAATGGAATTAAAGTGTAATGCAGAAACTTTTGGAATCCATGTATAGATTGAGAGATTTTTGCAATAGGGTGTGTGTGCTCGCTGGAGAGAGAGAGAGCGTGAAACACACCCCTTCACCCCCCACTCCGACTGGCCACGTTGCAGTCTTCCAACTCCTGCAGTCTCACTTCACCTCCATTCTCCTGAGATCTTGGGGACTCAAGTACATAAGCTCAGTCCAGCGTGACCGGGGTCTGGGATTCGAGTCTCCGCTGGCCATGTGGGTGTCCAGTGACATAATTACTACACCATCTGCTGGTCTCTGTAGTTTTTAAATTATTTTTCCCAAAATAAACACTTAACATCAATGTTTTGAAGACCTCCTGTGATACTGCTTGTGTTTCTAACATATTTTACTAACAGCATTTTAAACCTTTCAACAACAGGTATTTTAGCACTCATCACATTGTGAGTGCTACTATGTCATTGAGGATTGTGGTCTACTTCAGCCTTAATTTAATCCCCAACCACTAATGTTTAACCTTTCTCAGGGTCTAGGCTCAAAATGTTTAGTGTAAACCTTGGAATTCACTATTTACAAGGTTCCATTATTTTTTTTTCTCCTGGGATTCTGTAGACTAATGTGCTGAATCTCCTCTTCTTCAATCCTTCTGAGGATGTTGCTCCTTTCAAACACAGAGCTAGCCCTTTCATAAAATACGTATGGCATTTTGAAGGCAGGCAGCTGACTGTGATCTGCTTAACTTTCCAGCTGGGGTAGTTGGTACTCTAAATCATTGAAGGGAAAGGAAGAGCGACACCATTCCCTTCTACAGTCCAACCTTTGACTTTTTTTGTTTTTTAAATAATTATTTATTTTCATTTGTTATTTTTAGTATTATTTTTAATTTGACCAGAGAGAGAAAGAGAAAGGCAAAACAAGAAATCGAGCCACCTGGTTCAGACTCGAACTATGGTTGGACATGGGGGAGTCCAGCACCTTCACGCCACTTGCTTGCTCCTTGACTTCTTTTTAGTTGAATGCAGTAAAAATCTCCGACTAACCAAGCTTACCCAATAGCTATCTCCAGTTCCTTGGAATTTTTCTTTCTTTACATAAAAAGTCATAAAAGTGATTTTTTTTTTTAAGTTTACTACAGGGTATATGTGCTCATGGGGGAGAGAAGGTAAGAGAAAGTGAGAAATCACCCCCTAGGGTGCCACACTGCAGTCCCTTCTCCACTCTCCTCTCAGGATTTTGGGCACACTAGCCAAGCATCTCACTTGACTCCTCTGAACCGGGTCCTTGAAGCCTACAGTTGACCATGTGGGATCTAGCTGCCTTAACGTCCAAGGTACATGCTGGCCCAAAAGTGAGAAGTATTTAAAGAAAGCAAATTAATACCTTCTAGAGCAAGATTGGAATGGCAAACACAGGTTATTTGAATGTCTACTCCTAATCTAACACTTGTGCGTATATAGCTAATCTAGGAAGGCACAAGTGCTCCAGATAGCTGCCCCAACTTGAGAAGATTTGGCTAAAATTGATGTCTCAAGTTCTGGAATATGGCCCAGGGTTAATCTCATTGAGTTAAAATCTCTTATACTTTTAACATTAATTTTTAAAAGTAAAATCTTGGGAGAGCTTGCTGGGAGCTTGGTGCACAATGGTGACACCCAGCCTCCAGGGCAAGCTGGTGCAACTTGGGAATCCACGAAAACTATAATGAAGCCCAACAAACCCCTCATACTAGGCGACCACGTCTGGGAGCAGCACTGGGGAAAAGGGTGAGGTGACTTGTATCATGGAGATGTTAGTCATGATTGCTTGTTGGAAGCAGAATGAATTTCATGACAATGCTTGCAAAAAGGAGATCCAGAGCTTCAACTGTGCTTAAAGGCTTCAGCAAGACTGAAAGATGAGATCAATCCAGGAGACTGGGAGTTTACCTCCCAAGAAATCGAATAAGTTGTTAAAGAGGTTTCCTAACAAACCTTACTTCACTTGAAGATGGAGACAAATTTTCAATGACTGGCCTATAGCTTTTGAGAACTATGTAGAACATTTCAGAGATGTATGCACTGCTGTGCCTTCTGTGAAAGGTAGAATGAGGCAAAGTTCATTTTCACTATTTAATATCATGGTCTGGGTAGAAGTTAAGCTTTATCTTGAAATAAAATCCTCTGAATTGAAAAAAAAAAGAGTAAAATCTGGGGCCATCAGGTGACATGGAGGTTAAGATGCTGGATCCTACCTAGCCAACAGCATGGTTTGTGTCCTGGACCCAGGGGCTTGAAAAGCACATGTGTATATGTGCCCAACATCCCAAGAGGAGAATGGAGGAGAAGGGAATATGGCATGGTCATCCACCCTGGGGGCTGATTTCTCACACATACCCTGTTCCCCAGTGAGCATATGTACCCTATAGAAAAAACTGAAGAAAGAGAAAAAAGTCATAATAATCAGACCCTTGAAGAGTAAAAAGTAAGTGATTCAGGTTCAGTTTGGTATTCTCTGCTCTGTCATATCATGTTTAGTGATGACTACAGCAAAAAGTACATAATAGTCTTTATTCACTTCTTTATCACTTATTGAACATTTATGCCAGATTTTTTTTTGGAGAGGTTTTCGCTATAGGGTGTGTGCACTCGCCAGAAAGACAGAGAGAGACAGAGAGATAGAAAGCGAGAAATCACCCCTCAGGGAGATGGCCACGCCGCAATCCCTTCTCCTCTATTCTCCTCTCAGGATCTTGGGCATGCACGCACACGTGCCTGGCGTGAGTTTAAGCCACCGGGTCTGGGACTCGAACCGCAGTCAACTACATGGGAGTCCAGCGACACAGCCATTATGCTAACTGCTGGTCCCTATGCCAAATATTTTGTAGCATCCTTAGGAAACTCACTCCCAACCCTTAAACCTTGTGGTGTAGGAAGATTTAAAAAAAAAAAAATCAGAACGTGATGAGAGGTTCAAAGAGTTCACAGACCCCTACTCTAATGGACACATAGACACACACACACCCTGTCCTCACAAACTGCAGAAGATCTTGACTGACTATATATTAAAGTTGAAACTTCTTACACCTGTAGTGTTCATCTTCCCTAGTCCTTTTCTTTTTCTTCCTCCCATTCATAATATGTGGAAGTTCTACTTCTCATTCTTCAAATTCTGTATCCCTTAGAACTTTTGTAATTATCCTTATTTATCTTAACTTTATATCAGTTTCCTAGAGCTGCTGTAACTATTGATAATTACACAATCTTCATGGCCAAAAACAATAGGAATTTATTCTCTTACTGCTTTAGAGGTCAGAAATATAAAACATTTTGGTTGGGCACAAATCAGTGTTGACCGGCTCACGTTCTTCTAGGGAAGAATCTATCTCTTGCCCCTTCCAGCTTCTGTCAGCATAGGGAGAGGACTGGAATTCCTTTGGTTTGTAGTTCATCACTGTAGTTTTTCTGTGGTCACATTATTGCCTTCACTTCTGTGTGTGTAATTGAGAGTGTGTCTCCCTTTGCTTCTGTCTTATGAAGATACATGTAACATCCCTAATCATATCTGCAAAATCTTTTTTTGTTTGTTTGTTCACATAGGGTAAATCATTATTTCCAGGCATTAGAGCACGGATATATTTTAGAGTTTGTTATTCAACCTACTACAGTTTCAAAGAGAAGTAAACTTTCCTCTTTTCATCTTCTGTAGCCCATTATCTGGAATGATTTTTAATCTTTCCTACTTTCCCATAAGTTAAATTATGAAAAAATTGAAAGAGGAGATTGAAAGAGTACTAGGGTATCAAGGATACTTTTTCTTTGAAGCTTACCTGCCCTAGGCTGGACTTGATAATTCCCAAGACTTTCATCTTCAAACACTCCCTAAACCAATTTTCTGTGTGTCTGTAGTCATATTACTTCAGTGGT